CACCCACCTTCGATGCCAGTGCCCATTCTTATGTTGTTGTTGTTGTTTTTTTATGGAAACATTCCAGTTCAGATTATCACTTACAATATCAGTCAGATTTTGTCAGGGAACTAGGAATAGTCTAGATATTTTGAGTCCAATGTTGTTTATTGTAGGGTTGAAGCTCCCTCAGGAAATCTAGAAGTACAGACATCACAGGAAAGATGCCAAAATGGTCTGAGCTGTTTGTGCAGGAAAGAAGAGATTCTCTTAAGGATGTTTGAACACCATGGGCAAAACCACTACTTTGCCAGCTACTGGGTCTGGAGAGATGCGGCTCCCCTTTTCTTCTACCTTCCAGTCTCAGACAAGATGCTTTCATTAGTGGGATCTTACTGGCAGGAGATTTAGGGAAATGCGTTTTAAGTTTTATGCCCCTTTGATACAGGAAATTGCTTAGGAAGGGGAAAATGGTGTTCAATATCAACAACTAATATGAGGTACAGAACTTGCTTAATCTTGTTAGTGGGCATTTAAAGAAAATCTGCACTGTCATTCTTAATCCTGAAATCCCATTATTAAAGTCAGGAACAAAATAAGGATTCCCACTGTCATCACTCTTATTCAGTATTAGGCTGGAGGCTCAAGACAATTCATTAGGATAAGAAAAAAATAAAAATTTAAAGCATGAAAGAAAGAAACAAAACTGCCATTATTTGTAAAAAATATGACTGTTTACATTAGAAGATCTACAAATTTGAACTAATAAGTTTCTCATACAAAACCAATTATTTTCTAATACATCAGGCACAGTTAGGAAGAAGAGTTTTAAAGGTGCCTCGGTGGCTCGGTTGGTTAAGCGCCCAACTCTTGATTTCAACTCAGGTCATGATCTCAGAGTCCTGAGATCCAGCCTCCAGTCAGGCTCTCTGCTGGGCGTGGAGCCTGCTTAAGATTCTCTCTCTCCCTCTGCCCCTCCTCCCCTCCTAAAAAAAAAAAAAGGAAAGAAAGAAGAGTTTTAAAACATTGCTATGCACAACAGTAAGAAAATACCTAATGTACCATTAATAAAAGATGAGTAAGAAAAGAAAATTATGGAAAAAGATACAAAACTTTTTGAAAGACACAAAAGAAAACTAGATGGGTAAACTATGTTCATTGGTGAGAATGTTCTATATTGTGAAGATAACAACTTTTCCCAAATTAATCTATATATCCAGTATAATCCCAATCAAAATCCCCACAGGATTTTGGTTCTTTTGTATATTTTGCTTTAAAAAAAAAAAAAAACAACTTGACAGGCTGATCCTAAGTTCATATGCAACAGCCAGTTAAACCAAACAAGAATTTAAAATAATGAAAAGTTTTTAAAAAGACAATAGTAGGAGTCTCCCTAGCAGATACAAAGGCATATTATAAAATGATGTTAATAACTATTATCAGGTGAGGGAAAGACACTCAAGCCTGGAGAGTTGGTACCTGACATTGTATTACAAATCAGTTGTGGAGATAATGGGCTATTTAATGAATAATGCTTCCCATATGGAAAAAAATAAATAAATCCCTACTTCACACCACACATAAAGATCAATTTCAGGTAGATTAAATATCAAATATGAAAAATAAGTTCTTATGACTCATAGAAGAAAATATATGAGACTATTGAGTTTGGGTAGGATTTCTTAAAGAATTTCTTTTAGGGGCGCCTGGGTGGCTCAGACGGTTAAGCAGCTGCCTTTGGCTCAGATCATGATATCCAGGTCCTGGGAACGAGCCCCATGTCGGGACTCCCAGCTCAGTGGGGAGTCTGCTTCTCCTTCTCCCTCTGCCTCTGCCCCTCCTTGTGTGCTCTCTCTCTAATGAATAAAATCTTAAAAAAAAAAGAATTTCTTTTAATGAGGGGTGCCTGCATGGCTCAGTCATTTAAGCATCTGCCTTCTGCTCAGATCATGTTCTCAGGTTCCTGGGATCGAGCCCCAGAGCCCCATGTCCAGCTCCCTGCTCAGTGGGGAGTTGGCTTCTTCCTCTCCTTCGGCCCCTCCCCTGCTCATGTGCACATGGTCACTCTCTTTCAAATAAATAAATAAAATCTTTAAAGAAAAAAAAAAGAATTTCTTTTAACCCATAAACTGAAAAGGAAAACATTTATAAATCAGACTCCACAAAAAATTTAAAGCAGTTATCATATAAAAGTCACTATAAAATAAAAGGATAAGAACAGAGAGAAGATACTAGCAATAAATATAACAAAGATTTTGTATCTAGAATTTATAAAGAGCCAGCAATCCACTCCTAGACATATACTGGAGAAATTCTCAAATTTTGGTACAGTATAAAATATAGAAAAATGTTCAGTGATATTTCCATTCTTGGTTATTATAAATATCCATTAATTAAGAGAATGGACAAGTGACTTGTGGTTTAGAACACTATACAGCAGTTAAAATAAATCAATCACAGGTGTGTATATCAATATAGGTAATATAAAAAATTTAATGCAGAATGAACAAAGGCAAGTTTCAGGAATACCTACCGTAAAATGCTAAATACTTTTAAATGTGCAAAAATCTGTTAAGTATGTTTTGGATATCTTTATGTCTACTTACACAATGAAAATGATGAACTCCAAATCCAGGCTAGTAATTACCTTTAGTGAGAGAAGAAATCAAAAAGGATCAAGGAGGGATACCCAAGGATCTTCAATTATGATATTTTGTTTCCTAAAAATCAAACAAAAAGCAAAAGGTCAGTAGTAAATATGACAAATGTTAAATATCACAAGTCTGTGTGGTGGATATTTGGGTGTGTGTAATATTGTTCTCTACTCTCTTTATGTATGTTTAAAATATCCTGTAATTATTACTAAATTAAAAGGGAAGGGGAGGTTAAGTGATGGAATTCCTTTCCCTTGCCCTAACGATCATGGTGCCCCAGTCCTGCCCCAAGGCGGAGTCTGTAGTACTATTGGTAGAACATCGTGCTGCAGATGGGCAATGTTTTGTATGAGCTCCATAAGTAACCACTATGGTATTGTGCTGTTTCTTTGGAAACATGACTTCTGAGTTTCAAATGGCATACTTTTATGCCATGATAAATTGAGGATTGTGTACTATTATCATTTTTTTCTGGTACACATGGCATCTTCCTTTACAGAGAAGGAGACAGTGACTGGTAAAGCAGCTGCCACAGCTGACTCAGAAGAGCGGCATCGAGGACTATCAAGGAATTATGACCCATCCAACCTTTTGATGATGGTTTTGAGTTACTAGAGCCACTGAAGGGCAACCTGAATCATCATCAGAAGATAAAATATTGCTTGGTATTGCTTTGTAGCAAATATTATCAATTCCAAAAAATTAACACAGAATTCAGTGAAGTTGTATATTTACTTGGTCCTTTCTTCATCCATTCTGGCTGGTGCTCATTGGAATAAGTCATCGAACCCCAAAAGACCCCAGGCATACTCTGCACTGTTCCTCACAGGTTGACTTTCCTGGGCACAGCCTTGGCTCCGGACACTGAAAAGTAAACACATTATCACTGCTGAGAAAAGGTTCCCTTTGAGCTGGAACAATCAGCAACATTTCCCTTCTTTTGGTCAGGTGCCCTCAGACTGGATTGTTTATCAAATAATTATTTTCCCCTTTTGTCATACACGTATCATTCAGCTTCAGTGATGGCGGTTTGGTAGTAAATGGCCTTTCTTGTCATTAGAAAGTGATCTGTGACAGGATAAAGATTGAAATTGCACTTTGTGAAATGAGCAGGTCTTTTGTTTGCAAGATTAACTCAATTCCCACTGCCCTAGCCGAGGCAAGAATTGCCAGAGCGGTTCAGGGACTGGATTGAACTTCTCCTATAGGAATCATGGAGCTGTACAGCTGTGGAAACACAAACTCACTCCCCTATTGCTGGTTTTCTGACAGCTTTCTCAGTAGAGCAGTTTGAAGAGTGGAGAGGCCTGTTTCTGAGACAGAGAAGTGTTTTCATACCTGAAGTGTAATTTCACACCTTGTGTTTCTCAGCAGATAAGTGAATAAAATAACACATCAAACCGGAATAGAAAAAGATCAACATAGAAAGAAAACTGCAGGTTGTAATTTGTTTCCCATCTTGCAATGCTCTTGTAGAGAACAGTAAATTACAGAGATCTGGATTTACACTTTAAAAGTTTAGTTGTTAGGTGGGAAAGTGAGCAGTAAACACAAATCAGCTCTCAGCCTGCATTGAACAGAATACACAGAATGATAGAATCTGCGAAATACCCTAACACTTAGATTTTCTTTTCTAAAGGCTAAGACACACATGAGTTAGTGGTAAATATTGTCATTAAGAGAGGGCCAACAAATTGATGAATTAAGTGATTTTAATAAAAATATAATTGCCTTTGGAGATAGTTTTCTTTGCAATTATCTATTCAGGAATTTTAGCAGCAGTAGTAGATTATGTTAATAAAATTTGGATAATTTTTTTCCTTTCTATAAATTGTTAAACATATGAGACTAATCCCATTTTATAGCATTCCAGGGCAAGGGTGATAAAACCAAGGGGTTTATCTTCATTTTGCAAGTTTGAAAACGCAAGACCAAAAGAAAAAAGAAAGTCAAGCCTGCTGGAGAGTCATGTACGTTCGTTACAAAATGTTTAATATATATTGAATATCTACCATGTGTTGGACACTAGGCCAGGAACCAGGGGCACAGTTGTACACAAGGCAATTCCTCTTTCAAACTGACAGCCTTGCAGATGAGTAAGCAGGCAGCAAAGTCCTTAGAAGCTGCTTCTAATGAACGTCAGCAAGGTGCTCATAGTGGGCTGCATGAAACATTAACCATTGAAGGTAATAATCCCTTTCCTTAATAATTCATGGAAAGTATGTTAGTCCTACAGCAAATACCAGGCCTAAGGATGCTGCTCAGTATGTTAAAAAGGAAAAGTTTGGATCCCATGTAAATATTACAACAAAACTAGCAACACAGAAAGCTCTGATGTTTTCTCATTTCTGTTGTTTTTTTCCTTAGATACATACGGAAAGCTCTTTCTTCTCAATTCTGTGGGTCATGAGATGTCCCGCTGTAAGACGTCCATTCGACGTGGTCAGCCCAATCCAGTCTACAAGGAGACCTTTGCTTTCCAGGTGGCCCTCTTTCAGCTCTCTGATGTCACACTGATGATTTCCGTTTATAACAGGCGTACTATGAAGCGTAAAGAGATGATTGGTTGGATTGCTCTGGGCCAAAACAGTAGCGGAGAAGAGGAACAAGACCATTGGGAGGAAATGAAGGAAACCAAAGGCCAGCAAATCTGCAGATGGCACACCTTGCTCGAATCCTAGTTTTGCCAGCAGGCATTTGCATGTGACATCTGCCCTGGCCACCAGTGTTTTGGCCACTGATACCAACTCAGCACATGCTGGTAGGCGTTTTAAAGACAGGCTTACAAATAGGTATTAGAGTCTACTAACCTCTGGGACATTCTGGGCAGGATCTTTGGGTCTCTCAAAGGTTTGATTTGGATTCAGATATTATAATTTAAAAAAACACATACACGGTCAAGTGTATTTTATGGAAAATTAACCACAGTTGGGAACAGTGATGATGAGTCATTTTGTGTTAATAGATCATTGAGTCTGTGTTCAACCTGAGGAATGAAGTGTCTCTTGCTGTCTCTGTTTGCTTGAAGAGTAACCTGAGATCTCAAGGGAGCTGTTAAATTTCACTATTTGTAACCAGGTATGTGTATGAATCAGTATTTTGTTAATATGGTGCCAAAACACCCCCACTATGGAAATGAATTAGATGCCAAGGCTCATAAGAGAGTATAACTGTCATCCATAATCCCCTATTTTACATTTTTCTCTCTGTGAAGAAAACTCATTTATTTACTTAAAAAATAAATGTTATAAACTCATACTTATAAAACAAATTTGTATTCTTTAAATGCCTTTCTTTATCTCACTTATATATTGTGGTTTCCTATGAGATTTGGTTAGGTGAATCATTTTGAAGGTAAAACAGAGTTCAAAAACACTGTTGAAAGACATCTTGTCTCCTTTTAATATGTAAGATTTCCAACTTGTAATTTTCAAGGTTTTTATGCTATTTTTCTCACCTAATAAATTCTTACAGAATGAGAAGAAAACAAAAAAATCCCCGTATTTAAGTCATGGATTTGTTGATTTTCTGAATCGAGTGTTCTCCTTTAGATTATACTTTTTCTATATTCAATGATATATACACATACATATATTTTGAATGTACACCTGCATGTAAACCTTATTCTTTTTTATGCAGTTATTTTCCCTCATTAGAGCATAGTAAATTGTACATAATGTGTCCGTAATAAACGTTGATTTAATTGACTCTTAGAAATGAACATGTTATGATACCTGTGAATGAAGAAATATTTTCAGCTTGTATTAAATGACACCGAGGTTTTTTTTTTTTTATTTTGGTTTGTTTGTTTGTTTTGAGCATTTGAAGTGCCTATAATTGTCATTTTCCATGGCATTTGCAGCAGCGGATATTAGTCACTACTTGCATTCTGGGCATGTGCCATTCAGAACACTCATCTTGTCCGGTAATAAGCATGAAATTGTATCTCTGACTTTTACATATTTGTGCAGTGCATGTTTATTTTTCTTTTGCTTATATGTGAGTCCTTAATTTTAATTACCTGAAATTGTCAGTAAAAAAAAGGGGGGGGGAGGAATGTGTGTCCATGTAACACCGCGCCTAATGTTCAGCTCTTCTGAGCAATTGCTCAGTCACTTATTTTTAGCTTTTATATTTCATTGTTGACTTATTGCTGTCTGTGGGAAGAGTGGTAGCTAGTGATGGTTGTATACAGTTAGAAACACAGAACTCCTCCTCAGCTCTACATTTGACAGATTGTAGACGTAGGCTGTAACACTTGAAGAACATATTTATTCCTTACCGTGCAGTGTGTAATGGTTATCCTGACAAGAAGAGACTAGGGCACAGGATAATTCTTCTGTGATTTCAAGTACCCATTTGTGAAAGAAGTGATTTCATATAGAAGAATCAGAATTAGCAAAATAAATTAATATCTTAATTTCTTTTTAAGTCATGGGAGTTTCATCTGTAACACTGCTCAGTTATTGGGAAGAAGTAATAAAACCATGCTCCTTTGGGTTTTTACCCTACCTTTCTTTGGAAGACCTCAAAGTGCTTTTCCAACATTATATCCATTAACTGTGAGTGGTCTTTGCAGTGTGGCTGTGTCATCGAGTAGAACTGAGTGCAATTGATTAAGTAGTGGCACAGAGAATTGGCTTTTCACATCCCTCACTCTCTTTACGCGCTTGTGTTTAAAGGGAAGTAAAGCAGCCTTGTTATGCTTTCCTTTATGCAGTAACATAAAAGCAGCATTCACTTTAAAATTTACATTTGAAAAAAACCTGCATATATTGTACTGACCGTCCTGGATTTTCCCCCCTTATATTTTCCTGCTCTATGTTTTGCTGTATCCCTTGTCTTATAATGCCAAATCATCACCTATGCTTCGTTTTCTGCTGCCTTGACCTACCCATTTTTAGGGTTTTCTGCTGGTACGGTGAAGCTATCCTTGTGGGTTTGATCTATTTTCCAATAGTCTGCCTATGAGGCTGTTACAGGAATGTGCAGCGTTTTAAGGAACAAGATGCCTGAAAAGCATTTTTAAATTTTTGCAATTTTACTATGTTGATGCTATTCACCATGTAGGATGCATGTACATCTTGAATATACAGCAATCTAAAGCTGACTGTATAAATATAAAATGCTAATGACAAGATACATTAAAATATGAGGGTGGATTTTTTTTTACATTGATTTGAAATTCTGGTTTAGTAAGATCTTTTGATTTTGTACATTTTAACTCCCTTATTTGCCTGGCAAAGTCTAGACACAATGCACTAGCATGTTTTTCTTTTCACTAGAGCTCTTACATCTACATTTGCTTTTTAACAGTTATGAAAGATAATTAGTTGGTTCCGCGGTGGAAAAAGCTCCTTTTGCCTATTTCATCTAGCTAATAATTAACATCTCACAGAGACATTTGAAATTGAAGAAGCACCAGTATTTGTTGCATGAGTAGTTCCTTCCGTGATTTTTCCTGAAAACAGTGCTTTTGAAATAATACTACAGAGGGTAAATGATGCACTGGGTTTATGGAAATCTGCTTTATAGTGTGTCTTCTTTCAGGGCATTAATTTACACTGAATTGAGAAGTGCTGGTTTCACCAATCACGGGGGTGGCTCTTGTGCTCCCTGCTCCCCTCTGACTATTGTTGAATTTGTAAATGGGCCATTCACCAGGCAGTCAGGCATCTGCTCTTGCTTCTCTCTCCTTCACTGGCTCCCTGTGTGATGCACAGCTGTTTGGGACCCTGTTTTTGCTGATGTAGCGTAGCTGGGAGGGAGGTCTTGCCTTCCTTAACAGTAGAAGAACTTGTACCGCTGTCAGATGGATTACGCTTGGCATCCACCTGTACAAAGTTCGAGAAAGAATCCTGTGACTGCAAGGGGGGTCAAGAGAGTATGCTACTGCATTGTCGTTCACTTTCGGCACTGGGCCCTCTGCTTCTTCTTCAGTGACGGTATGGACTGAGCTTGAACACTGATGTTCTCTGTAGCGTGAGGAGCTGCAGTGAGAACCTAGCCTCTGTCTTTGCAGCATAGGAACTTCCGCGAGATTTTACAAATTGTTGTCACCTCTCTGTCAGTCTCAGTGCTTTACATCGTGGTTGTACCAGATGTTCTTATCTGAGAACCAAAATGCTTTTCCTTTCAAGTAATGCATTGTTTAGGTTGAAACTACCACCAGGTTAGGCAAAAGTACTCCTCCAATAGCCACTGAGTTTATGAAACTGATGGTTCAGCATTGAACTGTGGGGCTCCCAAAAGCCCGGCTATCCTGTTGCAGCAAAGAACTCAGTATGTTAGGATCAGAAAAGTGATAGAAGAAGATTATTTGTAGATGACATAAAACCAAATGGAGATGCATGCTTTAACAATAAACAGGGCCAGAAAACCCGTGCAGTGTCCCCTCTTTAAGGGAACCGGGACCAGAGCACATTCTATTCTATTTGATCTACAACAAACAAAAATGATAGATAATCCTGAAATGCAAAAGTATTTTGTCTTTAAAAAAATCATTCATTTGTTCCAAAAAGGAAAGCTAGGCAAAACTATCAAAAACAAATCATATAGCTTATATACAGAAGAATTAAAGAATAAATAAATATTGCTAGATAACTTCAGCCTCTGCTAGCATATATTCAAGAAGAGTAAAATAATAAACCAAAAGACATTTCAGGTTAACTAACTATTATTTTTTCACAACTTGTGGAATTCCAGCAAATCCTTAATGATGAGGGAAGTGAGACCCATCTAGTTGGATGAGGTTGGCAAAGGCTACAGTCCTCCCCTGGCTTTGTATGGAACTCCGTTAGCCCTGTGGCCTTAAGAGGATTCCTTCCCTAGTCTGTGTCCCTGATTCTTCAACAAAATGGAAGTGATACCTACTTCATCAGGTTTTTTAAAAGATGATAACAGCATTGAGCCTGGCATATAATAAGCATTCAATTTCCCCCCACCCCCAACCACACTTAATCAAGAATACAGCCTTTAAGATTTGTTTCTCTGTCTAGTGGAAGTAATAGTAACATTAGAGAAAGGCTATAAACAATTCTCAGATACTTTAAAAAGGGTAGACTCCTAAAGCTGGTCTAAATTTGTAAAGAAAAAGAAGTCTTACAGGGTAAAGCAAAAAGAGATAAGCCTGGCATATTGAGTCTTAATAAGTCCCAAATGAGGTACAATAACCAAATCTTTGTCTTTCATCCCCTTAGTTTGGAGGGGATACAAAACCTTGGTGCTTGTGTGCACATCTTGCTAAATCAGACACAAGACTCCATTCAACCTCAGCTTTTCTCTACAGTTCAGACCTGGACAAAGCACCATATACCCATCCAAAGAGTTGGTAAGGTGACAGCTTGAGTACCTATTTCAACTTTGGTATGAAAAAGGAAAAAAAATGGTGTGGCAATTTGCTGATACTCATTTAAAAATGGACAATTTTTTAGCCTATGCTATACATCCATATTATATCTTCATGGGCAAATTTTTAAAACTGACCTAAGGCAGCTATCAAAACTCATCTAACTGTTTAACTGAAAAGTTCTTTTCAGGACCAATTGTTTATCACTGCTTCCCTTAGGAGATCCCAATGAAAGGAATTCTTTTAGAGTTCATACTCTCTTTTTTGAAAAGGGTTTTAAAGAGTGACTTGATGTAATAGAATGCATGTTGAGTTGCTCTCAACCGTTCAGAC